CTGGCCAGAGGCAGGAGGCACTGCTGCACACCGTGGGGACCAGGTACCACTTGGGCTTGTTTGGGGTGAACTTCTCACACCTCCCTGTTCCTGCTGGAAGGTGGGAGGGGAGGGAGGTGGGATGGAAGGATTCGATGTGGTGACAGTGCCAAGTGCCACACTTTGTGTCCCCCTGCCCACAGGCTGCTGCAGGGAGCTGGGACAGCCATGTCGCTGCAGGGCCAGCCCCCGGCAGCTCTGGCAGTGAGGAGGCAGAGGCAGCAGCCCGGCCTGGGGAGGCCGGGGCAGGTTTTGGCCCGCCTAGGGGCAGCTTTTGGCCAGCTTTTGGTCAGCTAGGAGAGGCAGCTCTTTTCTCTTCATGCTCTTCCAGAGCGTGTTGTCTGGCAGGATCCTCCTGGTTGCTGTGCTCACTGATCCCAGGTTTCCCTTGCTCACCCAGCCCCAGCACACTGGCATTGCTGATCTTATCCACAGCGTGAGGCAACCTCTGGATGCCAGGGAGTCTTCTCTCCCCTCCTTCGCGTTCCCTGTAAGACTTGGCAGCCAGACACTGCCAGTGCAAGAGGGTGACAAGAACAAACGTGCAGCGAGGCGGCTGCAGCGTCGCTACAGCCCAGACTGGCTCGTCAGGCCGCTGGGAAGTGAGGGCTGGTGCTCCCAAAAACAGAAGTCCATCAGCGTGCTGTCAGTTGACCTTCCTGATGGGGAGAGCTGGCTGGAGAGCACTGCCACTGCCACTCTGGGACCTTATTTTGAGCCACTGCCACTCTGGGACCTTATTTTGGGGCACTTGTGCGTAGGGGTGCTCTGTGCAGAGCAATCTCTGACCACCGCTGGCCCCAGCTCTCCAGACACTTCCAGCAGGATGTTTCTTGCTGCGTTGCTGCTGGCTTTCCTGGGCATCCAGGAGAGACCACCCTTCAACCACCAGCACTGCCCCTGGTCCTGCCTGGCCTCCAGCAGGGCGCTGCACAGGAAGCCTTGGGCAACACTTGCCCTGGGTCCTGCAGCATCCTGAGGGGGTCTCGGGGAGCAGCTGTGCTGTTCCAGCCCTCGCCATGGCACCCTCGTAGCAGGAAGAGGACACAGCCAGGAGTGCTTGAGTTAGCCCCAGCAAACACATTCAGAAAATATGGCTTTTTAATTAACAGGGTCAAGAGGGAGAATTTCCCAACTGCTCTGCCCAGGGTTAAAGTAAGTCCCCTTGACGCTTGCCCCATGCCGGCCCCAAAGGTGCACCATTTGGGACATTGCTTTCTCAGAGAGCATTACAAAAATAATAAGGATAAGAGAGGTTAGAAAACCCAATACATCAAATCCATGAGCCTCTGCAGAGCTGCAGAAGGAGGGGACAGTGCAGAGAAGAGGTGCCCAGCTGTACACAGAAAGCTGGCAGCACGTTGTGGTTTACACACAGAAGACATTGTTTAAGAACCGAGAGTTATTGCTTTGCATCCACCCCAGCCTGACCACCTGGACCCCCTGAACACCCCGTGTCTGTGTGGAGGTGTTGGCAGGTGTGCTGGGGGCACAGGTGGGAGCTGCATGTGCCCATGGGCCCCAGGGGTCCGGCCCCACAGACCCAAGGCACCCACAGGTCCCTGTCACACCTGGCGGGCAGCGCGAGGCCGGGGGTCTGCGAGACCCTCGGGGCCCAGGCTGGGGGGCAGGGCCTGCCCGGGCTCCTGCTGCTCCCAGGGCTGGCCATGGCCAACAGCAGCCTGAGTGCCAACAACAGGAATGCTGTCTCTGTGTTCTATTCTTCTTTTTCTTTTTTTTTATAATTTAAATCTCTCGGATCATTTTATATAAATACAAAGATTAAAATAATTTATCCCAACATAATTTCTAGTACAATCATACAGTGTTTCCCCTTCAAAACAAGTGCATGTAAGTGTATATATATATTTATATATAAGTGTATATATAGTATCTCTAGAGCTTCCCTCCCCCCCCCCAAGAAAAGCAGCAGCGACTGAAGCAGCAGGTACAGCACGCAGGAGCTGATCCTTCCCGCTCCAAGGGAAAAGCACAGGGCTCACCCCAGCAACTCATTTCCGCATGGGCACGACAGAGGGAGTGGGGATGCTCCCTCTCCATCCCTTCTGCAGCCCCTCCTGCTGCTGGCAGCTCTGCCTGCACGTTCGGGGCTGCGGGGCTCGGGGCCTGCCCAGCTGCCTGCCAGCACCAGGAGGAGCCAGAAGCACTGGGGGGGACTGGAAATGAGATCAACTCCTGGAGCAAGCTGCTAATTAGTGGCAGAGAGGGAAGGATCCTGCAGCTCAGACAGGGTTGCTTCATTTACATACTAGGCACTAAAAATGACGATTCTAGGAAGGTATTTACACAGAAGGAGGATCATACCTGTCCCTCTCCTTTTCAATGCTCAGTCATGAACACCATGATCTTACCAAGGGTTTTATAATAAAAATGCAACACGCTCTATCAGGATTGTCTAGGGAGGCGAGAGGAAAGCAGCCACAGCTACAGGGGCAGCCAGACAGCGCAGGGACACGCATCATCCTTGTCCATCTTAGAAGAGAACAGAGACAAACCCTCAGCAGCACCTCTCTGAACCTGAGAGAAATGGCAGAGCCTGCCTTAAACAAACCACTGTGCAATGGGATCTGGGCAGGGAGCATCCCACAGCCTTACCAAGAATCTTACTGGGGCTTTTCTCCCTTGTGCAACTGCCCCCAGGTGCTGGTGGGGCAATCCCAGAGCCCCCGTGCTGCCCCTGCACCCCCCAGGAGGGCAGTTTGGGCACAGGATGCTTTGCAGCTTTGCAGCCCTTCTCAGGGGGTGACAGGCTGGGAGGACAGGTGGGGTCCATGGGGGTCTGCTGGACTCTGGCTCCTGAGGCAGCAGCTCCAGACCTGTCAGGGGTGCCCAACATTTTCCTGTAGGGCCTTCACCCCCAGAGATGCATACCTCTGCAGGGCTTCAGCCAAGGAGACCACTCCAGGGGGACCTGCCCAGGCCCTGCTTTGCTGGACTTCTTCCCAAACTCAGGGGTGCCTTAGAGACCATAGTAGCAGCACAGGATGGGGGTGACAGCCCTGAGGGGAGCAGGAGGGTCTTGCCCTCCAAAGCCTGACTATTCACATCACAGCCAAAGAAAAGATAGAAAAGCTGCTCATTTCCATCCTGCTAGTGCAGCTCGTATGCTCAGGGGTGGGTTTTTACCAAAGAGCTGGCCTAGGGACTGCTGCTGAGAATCTCGTAAAAGCATTTTAATATAGTATATAAATATTGAACTACAAAAATAGACACCTCTGACTGCATGGGCCCGCTGCGGGTGAGCTCGGGCAGGCTAGGCCTGACTGCTCTGTGAGGGTGACGTGTTTGAAGCAGTTTCAAACCAAACTGGAAGGAAATGGGGTTTGACCGTGGCACGAGGCTTCCTCCTGCAGCCGTGCTGGCAGTGGGTCCCGCAGGGCTGGCGGGCAGGGTGCTGGCTGCAGGCAGGGCCCAAACCAGCGGGTGAAACCTGCCCCTCACATTGCCCAGAGCAGCGAGACCTGCCCCCCACCCGGCCACTGGAGCTGTTCCCTCCCTGCTCCTGCTGTTTCAGACCATCTAGGGTATATGAAGACACTGGTTTGGTTAGGAGAGTGGGCACAGCTGCCCGGTGTGGTGAAGGCTGTGTGCTGTGTGGCCACCATGCTGGGAGGGACTGGGGAGGACTGAGGGGCCCACAGTGCCCCAGTCCTGGGGGACACACAGCAAAGGACACAGGCAAGGTGGATTTTCCAGGCTCTGCTGCTCATGGAAGCTGAGCCTGAGGCTGGCGTGGCCCCTGTGAGGTTTCTGTGCATCACGGTGGAGCACAGCTCACTGCCAGCATGTTCCCCACGTGGCTGCTCTGTTGTCTGTGGGAAACCCAGGCTTGGGTGTGGATGTGGCCGAGAAATGCTGGTACCTCCTGCTCCCATGGGACTGACAGCCAGGGTACCACCCTGGTGACAGCTGGGACCCTCCAGCGCAGCCCCAGAGCCGGGGGTGCCCAGGCTGGAGCTCACCTGGCCGTGCTGGGCCCTGTGCTGCACACCTGCCTGGCACCCCAGCCAGGGCAACGCCCGGCGTCTGCTCCCAGGGCAGCAGGCGGATCTTCTCGTTGCAGAAACGCCGGTTTTCTTTCTTTTTCTCCTCCTCTTTCTCTCTTTCCTTGGAAGCTGCAGCCAGGGCTCAGCCGGTTCCCCTCCACAGCCCCCGTCCTGGCTCGGGCCGGTGGAGCAGGGAGGACCCTCCCAGCAGGGCATCGCTTTCCGCTGCCCCCTCCCCTCCG